CCCTTCCCCGGTGACAGCAGCCCCAACTCCCCGCCCGCCCTGCTGCCCCCCAGGTGCGCAAGCGGCACCGCCTGCCCCGCCGGCCCCAGGCCGCTCCCAAACCCGCCGCCGCCGCCGCCGCCGCTGCCCGCCGCGCGCTGCTGTGCCTGCTGGAATTCCTGCATGATCTTCTCCGAGCTGAAGCTGCGCGTGTGGCCGCCGTAGCGCTCCACTGCGGCCTCGTCCGCCGCCAGCTGGGACTGGCGGTTGCACATGTCGGCGGGTTGGAGGATTGGGGAGACACAGTCAGACACGGGATGGGTTGGACGAGTGGGGGACCAAGTCAGACAAGGGAGGGAAGAGCATCTTGCAGAAAGTGGGATCCACGGCTTGCAAGTACACAGGCACGTGACACCTCAGCGTCATGAAAGAGGAGACTTTGGTTTTTCTGATTGGCCGGGCCCCTGCCAACAAGCTCCCAGATCGTCGGCTCGAACGGCTGTGGCGCGGCAGGCCCGTCACCGGCCGCGCGGAGGCACACGCGCGCCGAGCGGGGGCCGCGCAAGGGGGGGGGATGCGGGGCGCACCTGGCTGACCCGCTCCTTGCGCTCGGGCGCCGCGCTGCCGCTGCTTCCGCCGCCGCCGCCCCCCTGGGGCCAGGGCAGGAAGCCGAGGGTGTCCTTGTCGTCCCCGGGGTCGCTCTCGGGATAGTCCCCCATCACGGCGCCCTCGTCCCTGCCATCGGAAATTGAATGAAATCAGATGATTGTGTCAATAAATTCACATGATTGTGAAACAAATGAACCGATTGGAGTTGGTATTGCGGATGTCAGATGCCCCGCGACGCTCGGGAGCAGCCGCACGGGGCCGCCCGGCTCGCGGTCCCGCCGTTGCTGCACGGCTGCCCTCCAGCCGGCGCGTCCGGTCCCGACGGGCGCGGGCCCCTGCGGCGTGCCCCGGCGGGGCCCTGCCCCCGCGTGGGGCACCCAGGTGCAACCCTGGTGCGGCGCGGGCGCACCTGTATGGCAGGTGAAGGGTCGGGAAATAGGCCCTGCCCTTGGCGCCGAGGAACATCTCCACCTGCTGCTTCCGCTCCTCGTCCATCATCACGTTGTTGTACCGCCTGCGCGGGGGCGCGCGCGCGCGCGTGTGCGTGTGTGTGTGTGTATGTGTGTGTTGTGTGTTTTGGGGGGGGGGTGGTATTGGTCCGAG